AAAGTTTATTTAATTTTTTGAATATACCATAAGTGAAATTGTTTGGACTAACAGAATTTTTTAAACAAGTTGAAAACATAAATTATATGTTTTCTAACTTTAATAATATGATTATGATATAATTTATTATGGAAATATTATAGAGAACTAATTTGTATAGGTTACAAGATGCCTTATTGCTGCGTAACAAAATGTTCCAATTCTTGGAAAAAAGGTTATTCCTTACATCGCATCCCAAGAAATACAAAAAGAAGAGAACAATGGATTCAAAACATTGGTCGACATGATTTGGATGCATTAAAAGACTGTTTTGTATGTGAGGTAAAATGCATTTTTCTGTAATTCAAGTTATTTACATTTTGCAATTACATTACTTATGTTTATTATATTTAATAGGAACATTTTTTACCCGAAATGTGGGAAAAAGTACGTGTTGATGCCAAGAAAAAGCTGAAAAGTTGTGCAGTTCCAACTATTTTTATGCAGAAAGAAATTGTTTCTGCTACATCAAATGTAAGTGAAATATAGTATGCAATAACACTTAAAAATATGCGTGGTTGTAAGTTGTGTCCTTCGATTTAAGCCTCTACAATGAGTCGTAGTCTTAAGATCGTAAGCAAATCGATCAACCACAATCAAATTTTCTTATACATTCTTGATTGTCGTTGGTCGATTTGCTGTACGACCTTACGATTCATACCTATATGACTCATTGTAGACGGACCATTAGTTTACAATAAGATTGTTTATATATTTCAGACTGAAATTGATATTACGGAAAATAATAAAGTGGACAATGAAAAATGTTTGTCTGATGATTTGATAGAGGAAGACGTATTTAAGGAAACAGAAGCAGCTATAAATAATACAGAAATAGAGCCAATTAATACATCGCCAGTGTCAACGCCAATTTCAGACTCATTGATATGTGTGCCATTTCAAATTGGTAATCCTGAGAAAAACTTTGAAGAAGCAGAATTAAAAGTTCAAAAAGCATTATTAGATGCTACACAGGCCAAATTACGACAAGTGGAAACAAAATTTCATCAAGCAAATATGATACTAAGTAAATCAGAAAAGTCGCAGATAATAATGAAAAAAAGAATAAAAAGACTTATGTATGAAAGAAGAAAATTATTAGAAGAGAATAGTAATTTAAAGGCTAGATACAAAAGAATATTTAACGACGACCAAGTTGCAGCTCTCTGCAAGAAATCCATGCGCGGTAAAAAATGGTGTTCTGCTACTATCAAAAAAGCTATTCGCTTAAGATTATCTTGCGGTAATAATGGTTATAAAGAATTACGGAATCAGGATATTCCTTTACCAGCAGAGCGTACTCTTCGAAGAAAAATTGAGAACATAGACTTTGAACCCGGTATTTGTAATCAAACGTTTGACATATTACGTAACCACATTTTAAATTTTACCGATAATCGAGAGAAAGATTGCATGCTCGCTATTGACGAGATGAGCATTACTGCAGGACAACAAGTTGATATAGCAACAAATTCACATTTTGGTTTATCGACGTTGCCAGATAGATCAGGTTAATAATTTCTAATACATTTGTAATTTACATTTTTAATACTAATATTTGTATATTTAATACAATTTTTTATTACATTTAGTATAATTACTTTTGCATAATTAAATATTTTTTTTACAAAAATATCATTGTCTAATAAATACCGAATATTTATAAGTGATACGGATAATAATAAATCACTATAATATAAGAATTCATTTACATTAATAAGAATAATGTTATTTAGCTAACTAAACAGATTGTTCAATTTTTCTATAGGATTATTTTTTGTGGAGCAGAAAAATGTTTATTTGTGCATGTTTTGTAATGTATTATGGAACATCATCTAATATACATATAGTTAAAAATTTTTTTAACAGATATACTCTCCTATTGCATTTAGTATAAAGTTCCAAGATACATTGCAAAATGTGAGCATAAACTGTTGTTACTATACATCAGGATATGCAATAAAATTGTTTCTTTTCTTGGTTTATAATAATTTCTTTGTCTGGTTCTCTTTTTTATGAATATGTTCTAGGCCAAATTAAAGAAGCTACTCACAGTTTAGTTTTTATGCTTGGAGGAATTTTTACACGTTGGAAAATGGTTATAGCTTATTTTCTTACACCAGATAGTATTGATGGTGCTATTTTGAAACCTGTTATACAAGAGATTATTGAAAAAGCAGAATCTATTGGTCTATACGTTCATAGCGTAACTTCTGATATGGGTCCTGTTAATCTAAGTATGTGGAGAGCATTTGGTGCTATTGGCAGCAACAGATCCAAAGTCAGAAATTACATACCTCATCCTGTTAACAGTAATCGAAAACTTTTTTTTATTGCTGATGCTCCACACTTACTAAAAAACTTAAAGTCTACTTTATTAAATAATAAAGTCATTGAATTGCCCAAAACATTTGTTGATTGCATAACTTATCAACAGCTGTTGTCGAATGTGCAGACTTAGATGAATTAGTAGATATTCAAGAAAATTTTCAACTCAAATTAATTCCTAAAATAAAAAAAAAAGACATTTCCTGCACCACATTTAATAAAATAAAAGTAAATAAAGCAAAAAATATAATTAGTAGAGATGTTAGCAGCGCAATGAAATTTTATGCTGAAGAAACAAATAAAAAAGAATTCAATACGACATCACTTTTTATTGAATGTATGTCTAAATGGTTCAATTTAGTAACTGCAAGGACGCCAAAACTTGCGTTAGGCAAACAAGCGGGTGATGAAAAGAAAGAAAAAAAATTCAATGACTCTATAGCATTTCTAGAATCTATTGTAGAATTATTTAGAGAAATAAAAATTGGTCATCAACCAAAATTTAAGCCTGTGCAAAATGGTTTTATGACTACCACAAGGTCTATTATTGAGTTGACGAAGTATCTAATACATGAACGCGGATTTTTGTACGTACTTACTGGTCGATTGACACAGGATTGTGTTGAAAATCTTTTTTCTGCGATAAGAGTAAGACATCCAATTCCAAACGCATTACAGTTCAAGCAGAATTTAAAACTTCTTACAATATCAAAATATATGAAATCATTACATACTTCAAATTATGATGAAGATGATGGTGATATGAT